TCCCGCCCGAGGGTTCGGATCCCACATACAGACCGGTTCCCGCTCACTGGCTGAGCGAGGCGCGGGAGCAACACCGAGGCTTGCAATCCCGTTGCCAGTCCCCGGTCCGGTACGGGGGCAACACTGAGGGTTGCGATCCGTTGCCGGACACGGAAAAAAGACAAAACACACAAACACACACACACACACAAAAAAAATAATAATAATAAATAAATAAAATAAAATAAAAAATCACTCCCAGAAGCTGTGAATGTGACCTGGTTTGGAAAAGGGGCCTTTGCTCATGCAATTAAGGATGTCCAGATGAGATCATTCTGGGTTAGGGCAGGCCCTAAATCTGATGACAGTCACCCTTATAAAAGAAGAGAAGGGGAGAAGACACCAGGAAGATGGTACGTGAAGACAGAGGCAGACATGGGAGTGGTGCGGTCACAAGCCAAGGAACACCAAGGATTGCCGGCAGTCACCAGAAGCTAGGGGACAGGCATGGGATGGATTGTCCTTCATAGCCTCCACAAGGAACCCACCCTGGGGAAGACTTGATTTTGGACTTCTGACATCTAGGACTGTCAGAGAATAAATTTCTGTTTTAAGCCACCCAGTTTGTGGTAATTTGTTATGGTAGCCACAGGAAGCTAATACAAAGACCAAACATTTGGCCTTAAAAAGCATAGAAGCATAGAATATAATTTAGAGCTATTTCCAATAAAAATAATTAAAATATTGGCTGGCCAGTTAGCTCAGTTGGTCAGAGCACAGCCTTATAACACCAAGGTCACAGGTTCTGCTCCCAGTACCAGCGAGCCATCAAAAAAAGAGAGGGAATTAAAATATTAAAACTTCTAGTGCTCTTAGAGGATCAGCCCGAGCTACTCAAAAAATTTCTACAGAATGACTGATTCTTTAAGTATTCTGGGGGACAGAGGCTTAATTGTATCATCCTTCGTCAGAGTACCTAAGTTTAGAAACTGCACTTTATTCCTGTTCTACTTGCCCCAGAAAGTCTAAAGCATTTTCTTAAATTTTAAGTGAAAGGGCAAGAGAACTTCAATCTGATTAGTCATCTGTCAAGGCGAATGATTTTGTCACCATCAAATCATTTTAATTATTGTTACCAATACCAGCAACCAATATTTAGTGCCCAACTCAATGTTAAGTCTTATAATTGCCACTAGGTGGGTGCTGGTATCCCCCTGTTATATATATGGATGGGAGAAAAAGCCCAGAGAGGTTAAGTAATCTGCCCAAAATCACACAGCTAGTAAGAGGGGAGAGCTGAGGTCTGAATCCACAACCTACATATGTAACTGCTGCACCTACTGCCTCTGACCTAAGCTGCACGAGAAGCCAGGCCGCCTATTGACTGTGGACTCACAACCATGTGGAGTCACAACCATGTTTAGTAAAAGAGAACAGGTGACGGGGATTTAATTTCCTTATGACTTGAAATTAGACAAACTGCTTGAATTAATATGGTTAGCTTAAAGCTAAAACTGATCAGGATTTTACAACGGTTTTAACAATGATGCTCAATAGTTGCTAACTGCAGGATGGAACAATAATGGCACAGCCTAAATTTCTCATTCAAAAGGACTTTCTTTAGGAAATGTTAGCCAAGTCTTAAAAACAAACAAAACAAAACAAAACATCTGCAACATTTAAAACTATTCAAAATATCCAGAAACTAAGAACTACACTAAGAAATGAATCAAAATCCTTCTGGAATTAAAACAAAATTCCTTCCAGAATCCAAATTCCTTCAATTCACTTTGGTTTAAGTCCAGCAAAACCAAAGGCTCCAGGGCCGAGCCCATGGCGCACTCGGGAGAGTGCAGCAGCGCTCCCGCCGCGGGTTCGGATCCTATATAGGGATGACCAGTGCGCTCACAGCGCTCACTGGCTGAGCGCGGTGCGGCCAGTCTCAAAAAGGACAAAAAACAAATAAATAAATAAAATAACCAAAGGCTCCATAAATCTTCAAAGAATACAGTCAAACATCATAAAATCTGCTACAGCTTTAGATATATCCACACCAAAACACACTCATACATAATGCCAAATACAATATACTCACCCTTTAAAGTAGGTCTTCATCCTACCCCTAAGCCCAAGAATTATTAAAGACTAAATAAGTAATTCCTTTCACATACCTGTTAGCCATATTTCTCCACCTGGAGAGCAAATTGCTTGTAGAATCTCCAATGGGCAGGTCCAGTCTCTCTTTAAAATATTTAATAATGCCTTGTTCCTCCAAAAGCACTGGCACTCGGTATGTGGAAGAAACATCATGGATACATATAACCTGATCGATGATGACAAAACACCATACTTAGATGGATCGACTCAAATATGCAACAAGAATGAGACAAAACTCAGAAATTGGCAGTTTATTTATGCTGATATAAGAAAACCAAGAAACCACAGCAAGAGTCAGAATTAATACAAGATTAGTTTGATTGAATTATAAAACTATGAGTTCATTATTCTACTCTTGGGACCATGGATGCTGTAGTATATTAAAAAATATACCTGTATGTGTCTGGTCCTTGTCCCTAGTTCCTGGCACAGAGCTTCAAAAACCCTCAGAATTTCCTGAGTGATAAGAGTCTTTGCTATGCACAGGAGATGACTCCAAAAAGACCAACCAAGTGATTAGAGAGCTAGAACTTTCAGCCACCAACCTGACCTCTGGGGAAGGAAGGGGAGCTGAAGACTGAGTTCAGACACATGGCCAATGATTCAATCAATCATGCCTACATAATGAAACCCCAATAAAAACTCTGCAGACTGAGACTCAGGGGAGTTTCCCATTGGTGAATATATTGATGTACCAGGAGGTGGCACACTCTGACTCAACAAGAACAAAAGCTCCTATGCTTGGGACCTCCTGGACCTTGCCCTCTGTATCTCTTCAGCTGGTTGTTCACTTCTTACCTTTATAAGAAAACAGTAACTGTAATACAAGCATTTTCCTGAGTTGTGTGAGTCATTCTAGTGAACTACAAAACCCAAGCCCCAAATTTGTAGTCAGTTGGCAGAAGCATGGGTAGCTTGGGGACAATGGAAATTTGTGGCAGATGTCTGAAGTGGGGAGCAGTCTTGCAAGGGATTGAGCCCTTAAACCCGTGGAGTCTGACACTCACTCTGGGTAGTTAGTGTCAGAATTGAATTGCAGGACCTCCTGATGGTGTCAGATCTGGTGTGAACACAGATGCTTTGTATGTCAATATCCAGGACACATTGCCGAAGGCACCATCTTCTAAGTCTGGGTTAAAGCAGTGGCACCGAATAAATGCACCATGTCTCTCTCCTACGTGTGCGTATGCGGTTTGTTCATTCATTTGTTTTTTGGTTTTTTTTTTTTTGCTGTAGTTGCTTTTGTCTGTCACCTTGCTCCTTGCTCCCTTCATTTGGGTAAATTTACAAGCACATGTTGACCACAGTAAAATTAATTATACCTGTTAGAGGAGAGAGGCACCTTTAAATACCAGGTGGTGCCTGGCAGTGGTTGTTTTTCACACATACCCTAATGGGCTTTCGACGCCTTCTCAAGTGCATCCAAGGGGCTATTTGCAAAGATTTAGGATCTGCCACATCCTAAATAAATGCCAAGAAATGTTCCACCAACTCTGTGTTCAATCCTTCCAAGGGTTCTTAAGCTGTTTGAAATCAGCAACTTGATACCCAGACTATAGCGCCTCACTGTGCATTCACTGACGCAATTCAAAGTTCTGAGATATCTCTGATAAGAGGCTCTGTCCCAATTACTAATTAAAACTAAATCTCTGGACAGCCACAACCCCCACAACTGGAAGGGGTGGAAAGTGGAGTTATTTACTCATTTAACCTCCAGGCCAGAGAGAGATTTTTTCAAATATCATGATAATGGGCCACATCCACAGAGACACCTCTGATCCTCTGCGGTCCCTCCAGATCCAGATGAGAAGAGATTTAAATGCAAATTCACCAGGACTCATGAAAAGGCTGGAACTAAGAAGTGGGAGAATTAACTCATATCAGAAAAATCAAGAGGATGAGAAATGACTATAGACTCTATATGGTCTGAAGTTTGTAGTATATCTTCTTGTCTGAGAGCCCTCAACAATCCAACTCAAAAAACTTTATCCTCCTTCTATTTTGGAAACCAAGTTATATTTACTTAACACACACACTGAGTACTATTTACCAACAGGAAGGGTACACAAAACAACCGAACAAAAACAAAATAGCAAAACAAAATGCAAATATGTAAGAGTTCCTTCAATCCGCCGTCACATTCTTCAAGGTAGTTCAAACTTGAGCACTGACTCTGAAACATCAGGCAGGGAGGGGGCTCTTCATCAGACTCCCTCCCCTCCCAAGATACAGAAATCCCATTAGGTGGTTTTTAGACTTTAGAGAATCCAGAGCTAATCTGAAGAAAAAGTGCCAAACCTCACTCTTCCTGAGCCCCATTCATATCACTCTTTTTAAACTATCACCAACCCCAGTCCCTTGTACCTGAGACTTACTGGGAATGACAGGCAGACATAAGAGAAGGAAAGAAAAAAGAAAAGTTAACTGCCAGAATACCCAGGTGGAAAGTCCTCTGGAATGAGGACTTGAGCCCAAATCATGGTAAGGTTTCTGTCACAATGAAGTGAACTGAGGCCACTGATGTAATCAGAAGAGATAGTGCAAATGGCAAGGTACTGGCGTGGTTTGGGGTGAGGTGAGCTGTAACAGGCACAAAGGAGAAACGAGTGAGCATGGTAAGTGACCTGAAGGAAAGACAGGATAAAGAGACGATAAGGCAACTTCACATGGTTCTCTCTGGAGGTTTGACTGTGAGCAAAAAAGCCCAGCCCGGGGCCGGCCCGTGGCTCACTCGGGAGAGTGTGGTGCTGATAACACCAAGGCCCCGAGTTCGGATCCCATATAGGGATGGCCGGTTGGCTCGCTGCCTGAGCGTGGTGCTGACAACACCAAGCCAAGGGTTAAGATCCCCTTACCGGTCATCTTTAAAAAAAAAAAAAAAACCCAGCCCGGTTTTGTGCCTATAACTTAAGGAGTGATCATGCAAAGAAACATATATCCTGTCTAAGGAATCAGAAGCCTCAAGACTGTTCACTTAAGGGCTAGGGAGCCATGGTTGACTAGGAGTCCCCCAACACTTGCACAAATGCCACAGAAACTAATATGATAATTGAAGAGGTGCCAAATGCCGGCATGCACAGCAGCACCTGCAAGAGAAGAAAATCTAAAGAACAGCACCAACCTGCTCAGGGTCCACGTGACAAAACATAGAAATCTTCTCCTTCACGGCCATCTCGACGGGCTTTGAACTTCGGCAGATGATCTGTCAAAGCCAGTTATGCACAGGTCAGCAAGCAGGGACCAGGCTGGTCATGTTGCCTTTTGTTTTCAGAAATGTTCATTTCTTTTCATTACAAGAGATTTGACCAAGTATGTACCTGTTGACTCCTGGCATTCCACTAGATTACCAGAAATTGATTTGAGCACTAATACAAGCAAGTACGGGTTGAGCATCCCTAACCCGAAATCCAAAATCCAAAATGCTCCAAAATCCAAAATTTTTTGAATGCTGACATGATACTTAAAGGAAATGCTCATTAGAACAGTTCAGATTTTGGATTTTTGGATTAGGAATACTCAACCAGTATGTATTCTGCAAATATCCCAAAATCCAAAAAAATCTGAAATCTGAAACACTTCTTGACCCGAGCATTTTGGATAAAGTATACTCAATCTGTACAATCAAATTCAGCACAAATGTACTTACGAACTTGAGATGTCAAGCCGCCTCTGGTGAACAGAGTCAAGGCTCAAACGTGTCACTTCATCAAATATAAGAAAAGAGCTAGATCAGGGGTTGACAAACTTTTTCTCTAAAGGGCCAGATGGGAAGTATTTTAGGTCTGCAGGACATGTAGTCACTGTCCTGATACTCAGCTGTGCCACTGCAGTGTGAAAGCAGATGTAGACAATATGTCAACAAATGGGTGTGACTGTGTGCCAATAAAACTTTATTTACAAAAACAGGCAGCCAACCAACAAGCCCTTATTTGTCAGCACCTGATCTAGAGTGCTGGAGATAACCGGATTACCTGCTATAAGGACACATCACTGTTTAGACTGAAAATAAAAGCTAGCAGGGTCACAGGAAAATCCCAAGGTCCCACCTTCACTCTAAAGGATCTAGGTATCATATAAATGACAGGACATTGCACTTGCCCAGCTGTTGATGTGGCTGATCAGCTGTCAAAGGAGGGCCCAGGGGAGAACAGATGGCCAACTGAGGCAACGCTTGAGGACAAGGGAATAAGCCTTTCCTGGCCCCGAGGGACATAAAGCTCATTGTCATAAGAACCATTTGAGAGCTAGAAAGGACTTAGATGATGTTACAGATTAAGAAATAGAGGTCCTACTCCAAGAGATCTTAGGGATAAACTTATCCACTGTCCTTAACTCACCAGATCCGGGGACAGGCCTAACCCCCTCAGGGCACGAACACTGTTTTGTGTGGGTTTGGTTTTTTGTTCTCCGGTGGCACTGGGCTGAAAAGAAATGGGACCCTGTCAGTACAGCAGTCGTCTAGCTCTTCTGGGTGACTAATGGCCCCCCAGCTTCAAATATGAAACACACAGACTATCAGGAAAATTTATGAAAGTTGCCACCCACATACTTTATCTGAAAAGCTTACCTGTGGCACAAGGCTAACATGGATATTACAGAAATTCTCTCTTTTCGCCTTAAACTGGAACTGTCTGAACGCTTCCACAAACGGCATTCCTTCGATGTCTCCAATGGTGCCTCCCAGCTGCGAATGGAAAACCAAAAAAAAAATGCAAATGACCAAACATCTTCCCTGGTGCACAACCTAATAGAAAAATTCTTAATAAACTCAGCATAACAACTGACATTTGATGGTAGCACAAGAACAGAAGTTTGTAAATATGGTCAAAATCATTGAACTGTACATTTATTTATTTATTTTATTATACATTCATGTGGGGTACAACGTTGATTTTCAATAATTGTGTACAACGTGTGGTGGTTAGATCAGTAGCGTTAGCTTATTCATCATCACAATATACAATCATTCTTTGTGTCCACTGACCAATTCCTCGTGAGCCCCCCTCCCTCTACCCTCCCCTCCCCTTCTCCACCTCTAGTTTTCTAAAATGAACTGTACATTTAAAACAGGTGAAATTTAAGATCTATAAATTAAACCTCAATAGAGCTGTTAAAAATTAAACAGAAAATTACTATACCTTAAAGAGGGAGACGAAGTAAAGAGAAGAGGAAACAGAGACTAGAAAGTAAAACAAGTTGAGGTTGTTAACAACCTCAACTTTTTTTTTTTTTTTTTGAAGCTCTTACAACGAGAAAATGGAGGGGACACATCTGGGTGGGAGGGGGGAGAGGGAGGAGGGAGGGAGGTTTTGGTGACGGGACACAATAACTAACTACATTGTATATTGACAAAATAAAAATAAAAAAGAAAGAAAGAAAGTAAAACAAGGAGAGAGGGATGGAGTATACCGTAGCCAGGTCATCAGCCAAGCAAATAAAGCCAAGCGTCAAGAAGGGAGAAGGGTGCAAGGTCAAGGAGGGCTTTAAGAGAAGAAAAGGGAATTAATTCAGAAGCAGATGGAAAGATCCAGAATATAGACCACAAAGGAGCAAGATAAGCTAGTTTCTACCAGTGGTCCCAGTCAGAAAGTAGAACTTAAATCCAGTGACAATATGACAAAGGTGAGAGCAATCTGGTTCTGCTGGAATGAAACAGTGACCACATTCTCCCTCTCTCTCCATGTATACATGCACACTCACACACGTGCACGCACACACATGCCTGCATGCAATTGAGTAGTCTCCTTGCAATGCTGGGACTACAGGACAAAAATTAAATCACTATTATTAAAACATGCTGGCTGGGCCGGCCCGGTGGCGCACTGGAGAGTGTGCCGCTTGGGAGCACGGTGGCGCTCCCGCTGAGGGTTCGGATCCCATGTGGAGACCGGTTCCCGCTCACTGGCTGAGCACGGTGCAGGCGCAACACCGAGGGTTGCGATCCCGTTACCGGTCAGTAAAAAAAGACAAAAAGGAAAAAAAAAAAAAAAACCCATGCTGGCTTTCACGGGGCCGGCCTGTGGCTCACTCAGGAGAGTGTGGTGCTGCTAACACCAAGGCCACGGGTTCGGATCCCATGTAGGGATGGCTGGTTGCTCACTGGGTGAGCGTGGTGCTGACAACACCAAGTCAAGGGTTAAGATACCCTTACCGGTCATCTTTAAAAAAAAAAAAAAAAAAAAACATGCTGGCTTTCTGAAACAAATAGTACCAAAAGCCCCATGAACATTCCTGACAGTGTAATCCCTTGGTAAATGGCGACTCAACTTACAATGTGCTCCCAATAAAGTTACGTAAGCATTTAACTTTAGAGTAGGATAAAATTCACCTTAACCTATTCATCCTCACTATACTTAAATGATTAAAGACTATCACATTAATTTTAAAATGAATTCTCTAGCATTTGAGCATCTACTATATGCTCAACACTGTAAGCGAAGTGCTGAGAAGAATTTAAGACCACGCGCTCCTAAGAAGCTCAGACTTTAACAAGGGAAACAAGACAAAGCTAAAGAACAATAACCAAGAGTAAAAGTTAAGCTCTAAGTGGAATGACCTGGATGTTGGGGAGGAAGGCATCATGGAGGGCCCAATTCCAGAATGCACCACCTTCTCTGGCTTCAGCCACCTGGATGGATCCACGATCTACTTCTAAGCCTGTCCTCACTTCCCAGTGCCACTGAGCTTTGGAGCTAACTTGTCCCTGACATCTTGATTTTTTTTTTCTTTTTCTTTTTTTTTTTGCAACTGGCCAGTACAGGGATGGCTCAACAATTACTCAAACTTAACATGTCCCAATCTGAACTCTCCCCCACCCCGGGGCCTGTTTCTCTCTGTGCTCCCTCTTCTCAGCAAATAGCATCTCTTCCCACTAACTTGCTCAATCTAGAAGTCTGGAAATCATCCTCGATCACCGCCCTTTTCTTCACCCAACCCAGTCCAGTGCCTCCAAAACCTCTTGCAAATCTCTCCACTGCTCTCTATTTGCACTGTCACCACTCTAGACACCCAAGCCAACATCAACTTTTGCTGGGATAACTGTAATAATCTAAATCAGGAGTAGTAAACTATTGCCTGGTGCCTGTTTTTATAAATAAAGTTTTATTGGCACACAGCTATGTCCATTTGTTTACATACTGTCTGTGCTGCTTCTGCACTACAACAGCAGTTGAGTGTTGTGACAGAGACACTCTGACCCACAAAGCTAAACATATTTACTCTCTGATCCTTTAAAGAAAAGATTCACAGACTCCCAATCTAAATGGTCTCCAGCTTCTGCCCTCTCTCAGCCAACAGTCAAGCCATTTGTGTCACACCAGCAGAGTGATCTTGCAAAAATTCAGAGTAGGTCTCTCCATGCTTGTGCCCTTCAGTGACTTACTGCTTCACTAAAAATAAAAGCTAAACTCCTTTATGCAGCCAACAAAATCAGACTTCTACATGATCTGGCTCTTGATGAGTCTCTAATCTCATCGTGAGCCCTCCTGCCTGCTCTCTGGGCTCCAGTCTCACTGGCTTCTCAGGTCTTCAGATGAGCCACGCTCTTCCTGCCTGCCCCTTAAATCCTCTTTCTTCACTTACCCTTCAGCCTGGGAAGAGATCTGTCCTCCTCAGAAAGGCTAACCCTGACCACCCTAAAGCAATCTGCATCCTGTCTGTGCCCTTCCGAGTAACGCAGCACAGGTTGCTACTATTTCGTCTGTGCCCTTGGTTCCTGTCTCTCTACACCCCTAGATTGTAAGCCCCATGAGGGTATAAGCCCAGCGCCCTGTATGCAGCACTGAGGGTGGTCAGGACAGGACAAAAGATCTCAAAATTCAATATAAGAAATATGTAACACTGTTCTAGTATCTGCTACCACAATTACAATGGAACCAAACTAAGAAGTCTCAGGACCACCTTGCCGTGGAAGAAATTACTCTTTACTTCTTTTAATTCAGATAACAAAACACAATGAAAATTCAAGCTTCCTGAAATGGAACAGATAGAAATAGCTGATCTTTCTGTAAGAGAAGGACAAAGTTCTTTGTGAAGCTCTGAGAAGCAAAAAACATATCACATGCAATCAGGAACTTGGTGGGGGTGGGGGGTATAAGTGATCACTAGCTACAGTAGACCAGAACCTAATGAAAAAAAAAGTCTACACTTAAACCATATGGGGACATCTGATTTTGATGTGGGCACCCAGAGAGTCAACCCTGAATGCGAAAAGGAGGCCAAAAAATTATACATTATCCACTTCTGCCCTCACATGGCCCATAGTGGTATTGCATGCTCTCTGCCACTTCAGAAGTTTCCATCACCTGCCTGGGGATCATCATTATTACCATTGTCTTCAGAAACTTTCAATATTATTACTGGAATAGTCCTAACTTAACTGTTTCCCCCACACAACAGAGAAAATGCCACCCATAACAATATTTTAAGGTCTATCCAAAGATGAAATTGAAGCAGCAGCAAATTGACAAGATACGCAAATTTGGTTTTGCCTATAAAGAAAGGAGTCTTCTTTGGGGGCAGGGAAAGAAAAGAAAGTTTTATTCCTTTAAGCCAGGAGTTAATGATTTCAGATTCATGCTTAAATGATTTACACTTATTTGAATAAAGCCTGGCAGCTCCACTGGTCTGAGAAGTAGAAGCCTCACCTGCAAAAAGGCTTTGGAAATATGTCAACAGCTACTACAACGTTTAAAACAAAAACTCAGCTTTGGTGCTGGCCCATGGCTCACTCGGGAGAGTGCAGTGCTGATAACACCAAGGCCACGGGTTCGGATCCCATGTAGGGATGGGCAGTTCGCTCACTGGCTGAGCGTGGTGCTGACAACACCAAGTCAAGGGTTAAGATCCCCTTACCGGTCATCTTTTAAAAAAAAAAAAAAAAAAAAAACTCAGCTTTGGCAGTCTTCTTCAAAAGCTTGAATGCTGCATGGACATGACTGTTGAACACAAATTAAAAATGAACCCAAGAGAGGGCCGGCCCATGGCTTACTCGGGAGAGTGTGGTGCTGATAACACCAAGGCCACGGGTTCGGATCCCATATAGGGATGGCCGGTGCGCTCAATGGCTGATATATAGCCATGGCCAGTTCGCTCACTGGCTGAGCGTGGTGCTGACAACACTAAGTCAAGGGTTAAGATCTCCCTATTGGTCATCTTTAAAAAAAAAAATGAACTTGGGCCGGCCCGGTGGCGCACTGCTACAGTGCGCCGCTTGGGAGTGCGGTGGCGCTCCCGTCGAGGGTTCGGATCCCACATACAGACTGGCCGCTCACTGGCTGAGCGAGGTGCGGGCGCAACACCGAGGGTTGCGATCCCGTGGCTGGTCCCGGTCCGGTACGGGCGCGACACTGAGGGTTGCGATCCGTTGCCGGACATGAAAAAAAGACAAAAAGGAAAAAAAAAATGAACCCAAGAGGATGCCTGGCCTAGTGTGCAATATGCAAATATAAACATCAGGGTAATATGGACAAGAAGGTTTTGTTTGTCCATTTCTCGGTTTCCATGAAGTTAAAAATCTAGCTGATGAGCTCCTGTAGAGCAGGAATCAGATCACATCCATGCCTAGCAGCTGTCATCGGGGCCAGCGCATTTTAAGTGCTAAATTAATGGTGTTAAGCTGAACAAATCAATTCAAGGGCAGAATAAGAAAGAGAAAAAAAAGAACCGAGACATGGAAAAAAAAAGAAGAAGAATGCACCAGCTGCAGACCTAAAATGTTTGCTTGATGTTTGAGACAGAAATTTCAGTTTAATGTAAGATGTCACTGAGAATTCTTGACTCCACTGTGCAAGTGGAATCTTCAACAATTATAGTATACTTCCTTATAAAAAGAAGTGTCAAGTGCACCAGCCCCAGAATGAAATATAAAAGTTTTGTTCAAGGATGATTCTCAAAAAACAGTAGCTAGAAAAGCTGAGAGGATGAAAAAAGTGTTAAGAAGGCCCATCCTAAGGTCAAATTGGCCTTATATTTTATTTTAATAAAGTTCAGGGGCAGCTCTATTATGTCAAAAAATATATATTTCCCCCTTCTCTTTTTTGTGATTATTATTAAAAACAATTTTTTAAAGAGCAGAATAAATATCAAAGAATAAAAATCAAAAACATTCACACACACACCATTTTGAACTTTTCCTGTGATTAAGGTGAATAGTTTTACAAAAAGGCTATTCTTTTACTTTCAATGACTAAAAGAAAGGAAAAATATCTCCTGGAAAAGTGATAAAAATTTTCAGGTTTAGAAAATTGGTCATTACTTTTGGGCCAGGAACTAATTCTTCTGGGAAAATTGGACACATTTTGGATCTAACTTCCTGTTGCTGGAATAGCAAGGGCCAAGTCAGAAAAACAGTAAGAGTACTAGACCAGTGCTATCTAATGGAATTATAATGTGAACTACATATGTAGTTTTAAAATTTTAGTTGCCACACTTAAAAAAGAAAAATAAAACAGGTGAAGTTAGGGCCGGCCCGTGGCTCACTCGGTAGAGTGCGGTGCTGATAACACCAAGGCCCCGGGTTCGGATCCCATATAGGGATGGCCGGTTCGCTCACTGGCTGAGCGTGGTGCTGACAACACCAAGTCAAGTGTTAAGATCCCCTTACCGGTCATCTTTTTAAAAAAAAACAGGTGAAGTTAATTTTAATAATATATTTTATGTAGTTTAATATATTACCCAATTATTATCATTTCAACATGTCATCAATTTTTTCTTAATTATTCAGTATTTTACATTCTTTTTTTTTTTCATACTAAGTCTTTGAAGCCTGGTGTGTATTTTAAATTCACAGCATATCTTAACTTGGACAGACCACATTTCACCCCCTCAATAGTCCCATGTGGCCAGTGGACAACCTACTATACTGGACAACCTGGTACTATACAACAAATAACCAGCATAAACCAAAGGAGAGATGAAATGTCCTACCTTCTGCTGGGCCTGAATGAAATCAGTCTTGGGCCAGACTTGAAGATACTGAAACTGCTAAGTGGCACCTTCAAGTTGACATCAATAAGTGCTTTTTTTTTTTTTTTTTTTTTTTGCACTCGGCCACTACAGGGACTGAACCCTGGACCTTGGTGTTATCGGCACCACACTCTAACCCACTGAGCTAACTGGCCAGCCTAGTGTTGTTGTTGTTGTTTTTTAAATCAAAATGATTCATGCACGTGGTTAAAAATCAAATTGTACAGATCTGCAAGAGTCCCCCACCCTACCCCTTCCCACTTCCAAATCCAGATTCCCCAAGGCAAACGCCTGAAGCTCTCTGCTCACAATTTCTTTTGGTAGTTACCTCCATATTTCCAAATACCATCCAACTCCGCTCCTTCTTGACTTACCCGTTTTAGACACCCTCTAAAGAATGCAAGTTGATTTCCTGCTGTGCCAGATGAGGATTCAGCTCTCTGGAGCCGCCATCCCCAGATCCCAACTTCAATGGTTAGTTCTACTGGTGACTTTCCTAACATGAGATACTTGTGCTTTATATTCTACCAACTCATGACAGGATCTGTTGCTGCCCCAGTGTAAAAAGAGTTTCTTTTTCTCCTTCCACTCTGCCCCCTCCACCTAATGAATCTTATTTGCAAAGCTGATGACATCTACATCTGGTTCCCTGCTGTTATGCATCCTGGGAACTGATTCCAAAAACTGAAAATCAATCAGTCAAGTGACGGAATAAGTCTCCTTCACTGCAGAGTCAAGCTGAGCCCTAAGTTTACATCTCCTGTCTCATCACATGCTACTCTTCCTGGAGCTTTGATCTGCCTTTCCCTTTCCTTATACTGTATCTGTCTTTATCATTGCCTCCATTTATTTGCAAACTATTCACTGTATTAGATATTAAATATTTTTTTAATGGAAGCAAGCCTAGTTATGCAGGTGTGTTCAGTTTGTAAAATTTCTTTTTTTTTTTTTCTTTTTCTTTTTTTTGTCTTTTTTTCGTGTCCGGCAACGGATCGCAACCCTCAGTGTCACACCCGTACCGGACCGGGACCGGCAACGGGATCGCAACCCTCGGTGCTGC